CACACACACACACACACATTCATCTTCATAATGATATGTAACCATGCTTGTGCCCATTTCACATGCAGATTTATGCACACACACAAAACAGAAATGAAAGAGTGCTGATGCAGAACAAAAGTAAAAAAGAAGTTTTACCTGCCAACAACGTTTTACTCTGTCAGACTACGCAGGTCTCTCACCTCTTTCAGTTTCTAATAGTGTATCTATACAGTAGCTCCCTTACTGGATGCACTTTCTCACCATCTCAGAAATCAGAGCATTTCCCTGATGGATTTCTAAACATAAAAAGAAAGGGAAAGAGAGAGAGTGTGAGAGAAAGAGAGCGCATCGCACAGGAGTGAGCTGGTGTTTCAGGAGCGATGCAGCTGTAATTATAAGCTTAGAGAGTCTCGCCAAGCACAACAGTGAGTCACTTGGCATCATGTGTTCCACAGAGAGAGTGATGCACTTTGTCACGTTCCGTCTTATGAATGAAACCAGCGGCGAGGCGTCAGAGCACCATGGACTCTTATCACTCTAATGGACACAACCAGCATCTGCTGACCCAGGTTTCTGTGTATAGCCTGCATTATGGACTTCAACATATAGGATGTAAAGTTTTTAACGTAATATAGTGTCGTTTTTTTAATGTTACATTGCTGTTTCAATGCTTGACACAATGGGAGCTTCAACATCACAGTCTTGACTTTGCTCTGAAACCACATCAAACCGACTCTTTCCCTCACCGATCACGAATGAGAGGCTCTGAGAGAAAGCTGTAAGTTTCCTACCTGTGCAGGTGAGAGCAGCAGATAAAGCGCCGCCGCAGTCTCCAGGACCAGACCGAGTTTCATGTCGGGATGTGTTCGAGTGCAGAGAGATGGAGGTGGGGAGGAGGAGGTGACAGCTCCCGGTGCACGCACTCCAAAGCAAACAATCCACCAACAGAACACAGAAGTCCCACTATAAAGGTGGTGATGCTGTGTGAGAAGCTTCCAGTCTTCCGCTCCCGGGGTTTGGTTAGAGCTGAGGCTGACTGAGCGCAGTCACGTAGCTCCTCTGCTACGTGTAACCTGATGATGAAGTGGATGGTGCTAACTAATGAATAAGGCCCCCAGAGGCAAATAGGAGGTGCTGGGACAATACAAATATAATACTGTTTTTAAAAAAATAAATAAAATGTGCACGTTTCAAAATCAAAAAGTTGCGTGGAAAAAGGCTGCAAGAAAAAAGTTCAAATTCTGCTCAATCCAAAATCTTCAAGTGATGATCCAGTACAAACACACACACACACACACATATATAGATATATTCACAAACACAGAGAGGCTCATGCATGTAGTTGCACCGACAGTTTCAGTTTTCATTCCAGCTCTGGGCTCCAGTCGGCAGAAACACACACACTTTGCCTCTAATTGCTCCACACTACCTTTTCACAAGCTGGCCATTTAAATCTCCTCCCCCTCTCTGCCCTGCTTCTTCCGTCTCCACTGAACTCACTCATGACATGAGAGCTTTTCTTTTTTTTTAAGCTGCTGCATGTAATGGTCATTTCTTGTGATGCTGTTAATGGCTTTTTTTCCCACACTGCCTCAACTCTGGTTTCTAGACTATACACACCACAGGTGATTTACAGAAACCTTCTTCTGAGGACTCACATGTGAGTAAGGTAAACAATAAGGGATCTTTTTTGGGTGATAAACTCATGGCTGGCAGAATGCACAGAGATTTTCCTCTGAGGCGTCAGCGTTTAGAGAAATTTGCAGAGACAGAGAGGAAGATTCCATTACTGTTGACACACAGAGTTAATCTCCAGTGTGGGACTTCTGTGTATGCTGAAAACCCTGGAACCAAAAGGATTCCTTGTGGGCTTCCACACATTCCTTTGACAGTGCTGAATGGCTCCACCGCCTTCTGCCATTGTACAGACCAAACACTCGTGAGTGTTGCGTTTCTACACACTTAGCAGCAGAAGTATCATACCATCTCCTTCATTACAATACAGCCACCCTGGCCAGAGCATCAGAGGGAGCAGACAGACAGGGATGATGAGACATTTCCTCTAATTATACAAGGCAGCATCACAGTGGTTTCTTTCCTAAATTGTGTCTCTACACTACTGTGATGGATGCTCTTTGAAATTGAGAGGAGACAGAATGGAAATTTGAACCCACAATTATTTTGTTTTATTCCTGCCCTCTCTGTCTTACTAAGCCATCATTGTTTGGATGTGAAACTTTTACCACGCAATAATATCAGCATTCTTTTTCTCCAACTTTCTCATTATCCATTATCGCTGCATTATTGCAAATGTGGATGAACCAAAGGTGACCCTAAAAAAACTGTCTTCTCCTTTCCAAGTCTTTATGTAAGACTATAATGATGTAGTGCAAGTCATTTTTTATGTTTTGTTTAAAAGATCTTGAATGGTGGAGCAAACGATTGCTGCTTCTCCTCCCTGCTGCTGCAGCCACACAGACGTGTTTGTTTGATCGGAGGACAGAACCAGATTCTTTACACACGTCTCGTCGACTGCTCTTTGATTTTTAAACGTGCGGCGGCTGATAGGACTTAATAAGATCACTCCAAATTGTTTGCACTGTAAATACAAGCTGACAGGAGAAATAAACCCAGCTTGAGTGATATCGTACGCCAGGGGAGATGGATCTCCCTGCTGTCAGTTTGTGAAACAACCTTGAGGCTCTAATTGTTTTTACTGAAACCATAAAGCTTGACAGCGCTATCCATGTGTCTGGAGAAAAAAAAAAGGTTATTCTGCCAAAGATTATATATTCACCTTGTTAGAAATTTACTCTGAGGACACACTAGCTATTTAAATGATGCCTCAAATGAACACAAGACTTAAAACAAAGTTTGTTATAACAAGGGATGAAACATTTTTTAATGAATATTTAAAATGTTTGATATCTTTTGCCGATTGAGGGTGAAATATAACACCAAAATGTCAGCTAAACCTCCTCACTAATTTGGTTTTTGATGAGGCGTCCTGATTGAGAGAAGGTCAGCTGGTTGCACGAATGGGTCCGTTGCATTCTGCAGCGTCTCTTGATTTGCAGACCGAACGGGTGGATCTCAGGAACCGGAGTGCCAAAGTAAGCACATTTCCCTTTTGCTGTTGACCCCTCATTTTCCCAGATTGCTGAGTAAAAGGTAAACAGATGAACAGCATTAATGATGTCCATTCATCATTGTTGGGGCCACAGTGGGGCCTTCAAAGGGAAGGTGGACAGCCCGGAGAGCCCTTCACTTTGAAGGATCTCATTAACAATGGTTAGAGCCCTTCAGGGAGACCAAAGTCTCTGCTAAAGACACAAGTTACTCTTTAGTGTCACTGTAATTCACACACATTAATTCATTGTCTTATGTATCATCTTGTGGTGTGGTCCAGATCTGTGCACATATTCTAAACCCCAAACACCTAAAACACAAATGTAAAATAGGAAACACTGGGTATTGTAATATGATTGTACTCCTGCTGAACCACCTGGGCAGTCGACCCAAACAGGATATGACAATATTTAACACCCAGACCCTCTTTTCCTGCCATTAATTAGCTGTGAATCCTTTCCTCCCACAATAACTGTATTATTGTCAGGAAAACCATACCCTGTTGGAAAAAAAATAGGAAGTGCTTCAGCCATGAGTAAAAGCTGCTCACTGTTACCTAAGGTGTTTAGCATTATATTACAACACATTCTTTCATTTAAAACATGTCAAATCCTGTTTACATGTGCATGCCGATCGACATATTTTTATCTCCCACATATTTTCCCAAGGTTGTCAGGTGTCATCCTGTTTTCATGCTCATTGTTTTGTTTTGTAGGAAGCCCGTCAACATGCTAACACACAATTGGAAGTTATTTTAGCCTGGAGATATCGTGAATTAGTCACTGCAGAAATCTCCAGATTGTATTTAACTTTAGGCAGCTGTGTCTCGGACATCACAATATCAGATGGTGGTGGTAACTACAGGCTAAGTTCTTATTGTCAGAAGAATTTTATACTGTATGTTATATATGACTCAATATACTAAATGTATGTTTAATTTGAATAAGCAATTATAGCATTCAAATAGTGTTTAAGCGTCTAATGGAAAAACATGCAGTCCTTCCAGTCCTAGATTTAAACAATCACGTATAAGGAGATACTTGTAGAGTTCGGAAGCATTTAGCCAAGCCTTCATTGAAAACTAGACACAAAATTAATCATTTTAAAATACTCCTACTAACACAACTAAAGTTCAGAAAGTATTGTTTTTGTATTTAGTAAGGCTAAACTTAAATGTATGCAATTAAAAATGAAACTGACAATGTATGGTTAGTTCATATGCTTTTTTTGGACAAAAAAGAGTCGGGTGGATGGTTGAGGGTGTTCATAAGAAAGTTGTTATAGCATGTAACTTTCTCCAAAACTACAAACGGCAGTTTTTACATATCGGTTTGTGATCAGACAAACACAACATGTTAATCTGTGGGTTTTAAAGATGTTGGTAGGAGGATTATTTAAAATGTAAGGGTCAGGCTAGCTGTATCCAGTCTTAAAGCTAGGCTCAGCAAATTGCCAGTTGGTTGAGTTTAATGTACAGATGATAGACTAGCCTGTGTAAAGATGGAAAGCATGACTGCTCCCCAAAAGTTGAGCCAAATCATCTCAATTGCCACCTGGTGGCTGGATGCAGAAAATCATGCCTCCTCCATGTTAATGAACAAGAGGTGGACCCAACTAGAACATTAAAGTAAACATTAAGTTTTTATCACACTGATGTATGTTCAAGTGTTAATTCTTCTGGGATGGTTTTAATTATTTGATGCTATGAAAACAGGGTGAAGCATTTTGATTGACAGCTGAGACTGACTTGTGATTGGTTGAATGTGTGTATGGACAGGACCTGGCACCGCTGATTAAAATGATGAAAGTGCAGCAATACTGAGCTTACAATGTTCCATTGAATTCCAATTCAGCCAGCAACCACTGAGTGGTGCACAGCAGCATGAGCGGCGCTCCGAAAGGAAGCTGATTGTTTGTCTAAAATAAAAAGTCATCACCTCCACAAGCTGTGTGGACAGGGTCCTGCAGTCGGTAAGAAAGCAAAGGAAAAACAGCATTGAGAGTGAGTTACTGCAGCTTGTGTCGGCGGCAGTTAAAAAAGCTGTTAGGTTTATAAATGAAGAATGAGCACTGCAAAGTGTGCGGAAGTGGTCCAGCAGTCAGAGAGCAGGTTGTAACTCAGGCCTGTGGTGATACTCTAAACTCCATTAAGAGGTCCCACATGTGAAGCACAGTCACGAGTTCATGTGTTGACACTGTTGGTGGTGGTTCAGCCGGGGCCATAAAACAGATAAATTAGATGTTTTTAAAATCCCCCTCATGTTAACAATCTCTATGAATAATAATAACCCCAACATTGTGGTTAGTGTAAATATAATGTAAGAGCTAGCAGGTGTACTCAGATTACTCTGTAAACATGCTCCCTTGTAAGCGAACAGAATTTTTTCAGCCCTCTGACATGTTATCAATTGAGATGAAGGAGGCTGAGGTTAATGGAGTATACCCTTTAAGAGTTTATGCTGCACGGAGATCGATTGGCAGTGAGATTAGATGTATTCTTAGAAGTTGGAGACACTTAAGTAAACATGAATTCAATCAGGCAGCAAGATTTACTGGAATACCACTGCGCATGAATGCTGCTGTTTATTTTTCAGTCCACAGAGTGTTTTTTAATTTTTTTATCTCACATTAGTTTATCCTGCCTCAGGGTCTTTGTGTCAGATTTTGAAAAGATTTCCTCGGTAAAACCAAACATTAGTCCTCATTCACAAACCTGGTAAATTGACAGTAGCTGTGAAGAACGTGCAATTATTTCAAAGATGACATTAAAATCTAAGTTTTTATAAGCTTGAAAAAATGTGTGGACATGAACATGCTGTAATGCTGCTTGCAAAAACAAGATAATCATAATCAGCCTCTGCACCCTTATCGCTGTCTTAAAATAATAGATGGACATTTGGGAAATATGCCTATTTGCTTTCTTCCCAAGAGTTAGACAAGAAGATTAATATCACTCGGATGTGGTAAAAATGTAGGAAGCACAAGAGCTGGTTCTGTTCAAAGGTAACAAATTCCCCCTATTGACAGCTCTAAAATTCAATAATTCATGTT